GAACTATTTTCTCTATCAAATAGAACCATTTGCAAAAAACATCAAGTATAATGCTAGAAAACTAGTTTTGAAGGTTTTGGTTTTTCCAGACATCTTCATCCAAGCAGTTTTATTGAAGTTTTCAGATCGACAAATTCTGATAGAGAATGCTTTCAGCTACTCAAATATTTTTTTCAGATTCTTGTTATCTATTGCTAACGAGAAGTAAATTTAAAAAATTACATCTGTTCTAAGCTTTATTCCATTATTATATATATATGTATATAAAATGTCTCAAGTCTTCAAAGGTTTATTAACTACAGAAACTATACAATAAAAACTGCACTTGTTCAATGGCGAATACATTTATTAACTAAGGAAAAGAGCATATACCCATTTAGAATTATATTATTTTTGAGTGAGCAAATATTTTATTTTATCTAGTAACAACTATTCTAAATATTAATGAGTTCTATAGATTCAATTTCTTTTCACGTATTAACAACTACTTAGAAAATATCTTCATATAATATTTATTCATGAAAAATATAATATCTAAATCATTTAAATAATTATCTGTTTGTTTATAAGACAATATATATCTGTCACTGTTTGTCACATATGAAAGAAGTATGAGAATATTCAAAGTTTTTTTTTTATATTTGGTTATGTCTTACTCAAAAATTTTTAAGCTTCCAATTCTATAAATATTAAAGAAAAAATTATCATTCAATTAAAGTTTTATACATATTGTGTCAATAATTAAGCATCGTATTCACTTGTCGAGCAATCAAAAGTCATCACATATGAAAGATGGTCAAACGAATAGAACTCGTTTGTTGGGGCTCGGAAAATCATTTGAATTTTTCTTTTCTTCAAATAATTACTTGTTTGATTATTTTCATCTTTGATTATTTTATGCTTCTTAATCGATAAATGTTTCCTTTTGGAAAGTTCTTTTGCTGGGATAACATGTTTTTGTTCATCCTTACATTTTTTTCGAATGATAATATATAGAAGAATTGCCCAGAGACCTTCAAGTCCATTACAAATAATAAAAATCCATGATAAAATATGACCTGCTGTATTACCCGAAACAAGTATTAACGGACCAGTTAGCCAACCAATCCCTTGACTTAGACTCGAATGAATTAATATTAAAACACATTTTTTCATTCGTGAATAAGATGGATGCCGTGTAGTGGTATTTCGTACATGATAAGCCATACGTTTAACAATGAGAACAAGTATAATTAAATTAAATAGAAGAAAAATACAAACAGGTATTGTCAGAAAATAATGGATAGCAGATCGTTTAAACCAACAAATTAGATTTGCGTGTAAATAAATAATATGAAATGAAGGATTTGAATTAAAACCAATAACAAAAAGAACAGCTATAATCGAAAATATCAATGAACCAATTAATAAAATATAAAGATTTTTAAATGATGGTGGTGGAAATAGACGAACAAACTGAATATAATTGAAATAACCAATACTTGTTTTTGTGCAGAACATGAGCATTAAAAAGAAATAGACAATAAACATTAAGATTGTAGCACTAGTAAAACATTTGTCTTCCTTAGACGGTTGTGTTGTTGTATGAACAGTTAAAGTAAGTGCAATATAGAAAATAAAAAGAAGAACAGTACTTGCATTTGACAATAATGGAAGTAAATCGATTGGTTTAAGTTTTGCGTTTGGATATTTGACACGAGTGACAATATCAAAAATGATTAAAGCTAAAAAACAGACGATGGAAATCGATTGAAATACAAGAGAAGCAATATCTTCAGCTAAAAATCCAGAATCACGACTACGTGGAGGCAACCAGAGAAGAGCAAATGAACTTGAATGATTGCAACTACATTCATATCGATCGAAAGTTTTATTATAATATGGTTTAGTGCAACCTGTTTCATTCCATGATGATGTATTTGTATCGTAATATACACAAACAAAGTTATTGTTCGAAGTATTTTCTACACTATGATTATTTTTCTTAAAATATAATGACATGTTTATTTGTTCGGATTCATTATTTTTGTACGATAGTCTAGCTACAATTACTGATGATATAACTGTACCATTGCGTGAATCATTTAATTGACGATAATCCTTGGGATCATCAATCAACAATAAGTTGAGATATGTAACATTAATCAACGAACTCGCTCCAAAAATTGCTGCAGCTGAAAAGGTTGTGTTAAGTATTTCATTAACATTCGAATCCTTTATATAGTTACCGCCAACTCCCATGTTAAACCAAGCACCAACCACAATATCATTACTTTGATGCGGTAGTGCTGACATTATAAATGATGTACTTGCATTAATTGCAAAATTACCCCTCAGACATTCAACTTTGGTATCGATTTCTGCCGGTGACAAACTTCGATTTGAAGTTAATGAGAAGTTTGAACGAGCAATTGATGCATAATATATTGTTAGCATTTCTGCCAAATTGGTCGCGTTATCACAGCTATCATTTTGGCGAATGGCGTCAACCACCTGTGTCTATAACAATTATAAAAAATAAAAAGAGACCTGAGACAGATTTTTATATCGTACTTGTACTTCATTGATTAGCGTACAAGTTTGATTAAACTCTAATAGAGAAGAGTTATTGCAAGATGTTGAGTTATAAGAGGAAACTTGTATTGGAGGAACAGGAGTACTTGTAGTTGTATTGGCGTTAGTGTGCGGCGAAGTCTGAAATGTGCTCGTCGGAGCCAAAGAAGAAGAGAAGAAATTAACGATATTTGTTTCGGTCGGCATTGACGCCGCTAAAATAACACAAGAAATTCAGACAACAACGTTTACTTTTCAGTGTTGATTTTTGTCGATCACTTTTTGTAGCGTAGAATTTTAGTATTGTTCTTATAATCATGATTAAAAATTAAACTCTCGTTATTGATAAATACGATAAGAAATGAGAAACTTCTGAATGAATATTTCCATTTTTGATTGTTTATCTAATGTAATAAGCTCCTAGGCAAAAGTCTTCTTTCTGCTTACTTTCTTTTTAAACAACTTTTAATATTTGCTTTCTATTTATTATCGAACTAATGTATCACATACATTCACTGCTAGAGTGTAGTATATTCTTATGTAAGGCTTTAAACATCCCACGTTCTCGATCATCTCACTACGAAATAATGTTTTTCAAGCTGCATCCACCATGCCTTAAAATATCAAGTGAAGTTATTTCGAAGTGTATTGAGTGTGAACCAAAAGCCGTACGACATTGACTTACGAGATGACAACAAAATAAAGACCTGTCTAATTGTCCAAGAAATGACCAATCACGTGTCACGCCGAAGAAAACTGATATGAAGATTGTTAATATTACCAAACATAAGCTAAACATTACGTCAAACGATATTTTGAAAATTCTAAAAGGGATGATATGCATATAGATTCAAATACTATTAAACGTTGATTCTATGAGAAACTTGACAATATCAAAATTTCAATTGGAACAACGTGGTTTTTTCCAATAAAAAGACATTCAAATTTAGTGTCAACGAAAAAACGTTCGAAGTTTTCCAGATGTTATCAAGATTGTTTGCATAGTTAAATACCCTCTCATGTTATACGTCAGGAGATATGTCTCAGAATAAGATTTCGGACAATCAATTGCTGTTTAACACAATTTGTCAGAAGATTTTATGTGCAACATATAATTTATGAGGATGGTCTTTTGCCTAGAGCTAATTTTCAATTTGCTGAACGTCCGGCTAGCTGGATTCTACAAGAGAACAATGATCCTAAACACAAATTTCGTCTGGCAATCGAATTCAGATCTTAACTTGGTCCTCTTCATCACCAGATCAAAACCCGAAAGGGAATGCTTGGTCGATGATGAAGAAAATAGTAAATCAAAAAAAAGAGATTCAAACAAGTCAACAGTTGGAATAAAAGAATAAGAAAGGCATGGACAACTTTGTCAATTGACTTGACTGTCCACTTGGTTGATAGTATGAAAAGATAAGCATAGTGTTCGACTGATGTTAATGGTGACTATACATTATATTAAAATGAAATAGATTTGTTATAGTTTCATTCGATAAAAAACAAAGAAAGTAAATATTCAAAATTTTTAAACTCTAGGAAAGAGAAAGACTTTTGTTCAGGAGTGTATATTATAAAGTTTGCTTGAATACAATGAGCAGCATGATCGATTTAGTTATCTATAAATAATCAGCCTATTATACAACAAAAGATCTTCATGAAAACAAAAACAATTTTTTTTTAACAAGAAAATCGAATAGTACTCTTATCTAATCAGAGAACAAGCTCGTTTTTTACCTGATGAAGATGGTAATTCCATAGCAGGAGTAGAAAAATAAGTACAAAAGCATTCATAACGACCAAGGATAGAATTTTTTGTCGGTGAACTACAGTTGGTGTTACTCCAAGTTGAACTATTTGTATCGTAATATGCACAAGAAAAGTTACCGATATTGACATTTGGTACATTCTCATGTTGAAAATATAATGAAATATTCATCAATTTGGATAAAGAATTATTGCGTTCCACTTCAGCTACAATTACAGATGAAACAATTTTTTTCGCTGGTGAGTCAGTAGAGTTTTGATAACCGTAAGGCTTGTTTATCAACAACATTTTCAGCATAGTAGTATCATTTAATGAATCATGACTAAAAATAGCTGCAGCCGAAATATTTGAGTTAATAACATTAACTTCATTAGAGTTAGAAATAGTTTGACTCTGATAATTGTGTTGAAATGAAGCGCCTAGCATACAATTATTGTTGCTTTTATCTATGAACTGTGCTACTAAATGTGATTTCTCTGCCACTACTATAGTATTACTGTCAAGACGACGAACATTATTTTCTACTTCAGACGGCGTTAAAATATTCCCTGCGTTTGAAGATAGCATAGGATCCATCATCGACGCATAATATATCGTTAACAGCCGAGCTACACTGGTCGCATTCAGATCTGTTGTATTTCGCAAACGATTTACTGCTGCATTCTACAATATAAATTTACATCAAGAATAATAAATCTAACATATATCTTACTTGTGCAACGGTTCGCAACGTGCAGTTACAATCAGTCCACGGTATTAACGATACGTTACTGCAAAATGTGCTATTATATGTTACGCTAATAGTCGACGAAAAACAATTAGTTTCAATAGGTGTCGTGGTAGGATTCAAACTTGTAACTTTACTAGTTTCTTCAGTCGTAAATAAACTCGTAGTTAAGGAGATATCAAAAGTTTCTCCAATGGAAATTGTTGAACCTCTAAAATAATCAGTTGAATCAGTTGTTGTGTCTGTTGAATTCACTGAAACATCACTACCAGTCAATATAACAGTAGTGCCATCGATTTCAGTGCTTGTTTCTTTCGCTGTAGTAAGGGTTGATATTGATTCCGAATTATTTATAGGATAGGTAGTAGTGACTGTTTCATGTGTAAAAAGTGAGGTTGTCTCCCCAGTCATTGTTGCTAAGCTTAATGAGCTCTGACTGCTCGTAAGAATAGATGATTCATCTCGAAAAATTGTAGTTCGTTCTTGTTCTGTGACAATTGTACTTAATGCAGTACCGGTCGACCATTCAACCGTTGTTTCATTGGAAACATTTATAATGGTAACGGATATTGTTTCACTTGCACCTGAAATGACGTCAGTTACAGTTTCAAACATGGTTTGATCTGTGTAGAATGAAGTCTGCGTGGGTTTGGTTACTGTTAATGTTATACTACTTTCACTACTAAATTCAGTAGTAGCTTGATCAGTAATCGTTGTATTTAGTCTAGTTATGGTTTCTGCTGGAATCGATGTACGATAACTAGTGGTTGCAATGGTACCGTCGTCTGTAACATATGTACTTTGTTCAGATGTGTATTCTGGTAATGTTGATGTAATTTCAGAAGTGGTTACGATGGTAGTTTCCTCTGTAAGACTTGTACTTTCTTCAGATGTGTCCTGTAACGAGGTTGATGCGATTTCAGCAGTGGTCGGAACGGTAGTTTTCTCTGTAACACTTGTACGTCGCTCAGATGTGTCTTCTGGTAATGTTGGTGTAACTTCAGCAGTGGTTACGATAGTAGTTTCCTCTGTAACACTTGTGCTTCGTTCAGATGTGTTTTCTGGTAATGTCGACACGATTTCTCTGGTGGTTGTGATAGTACCTTCATCTGTAACACTTGTACTTCGTTCAGATGTGTCTTCTGGTAACGTTGATGTAACTTCAGAAGTGGTTACGATGGTCATTATTTCTGTAATACTTGTACTTCCTTCAGATGTGTCTTGTAACGAGGTTGATGCGATCTCAGCAGTGGTTAGAACGGTAGTTTTCTCTGTAACACTTGTGGTTCCTTCAGATGTGTGTTCTGGTAATGACGTTGATGTAGTTTCAGCAGTGGTTAATGTTGTGAAACCAGTGTTCGTTTTAACACTAGTTCCAACTACTAGTGTTGTGACATCCTCTGCAGTTGTCTTTTCTGATGTTGATTCGATGTAACGTATATATTCAGTAGTTGTTTCATCTGGAAAAATCGTAGTTTTCTCAAGTGTATTTACCGACGAGATTGATGTCCGATGAGTAATAAAGCAAAACATAATCAGTTATTATGTTGAGAAAATATGTTTTTGAATGGCAAGAAATTTTATGGTATTCATTTGGTGAATCAAAGTATGATGAATATAATCAAACAAAAAGTACACGTCATAAAACGTATTAGTTCATCTATATATTTTGTACCTTTTCATTTTTTATAACTGAATGCTATCATGTTTTCAGATAAACGTGGAAAATCTTAAAAAAGATAGAAAAGCTTCTTGCTCTTTTATATTTATGTCGTTATTCTTAGGTGAAGGGGAGGAATGAATAGAGATTGAAGAAAAAAATCACTTGCTAGAATAAGATATATCTAATTGTACTTGCTAGAAAATGTGTGCGTAGTTTTTTTTAAATGAGTCATTATAGTCATGTCCTAATAGCCGACCATGGATGTTTGTTGAGTTTCAGTATTTTTCGTCTACATATTGAATCAATTTTCAGTTTCAACTTACGGAAAATAAATGCTACACTGATCGATAGAAGATCGCAGCTAAATTGTCATCAAGTCAACTTTCGACTCTAGACTTGATGTGTTAGACTTGGATTTTATGTTACTCGCTACATATGTTCATTTGTATTAGATATTGACACACTACACTAATGTAATAGATATATATGAATCTTTATGTAAACTGTTCGGTCACACTATTAAAAGTCTATTATCAAATATGTATGTAATTGTACTGAAAGATGATGTTGGATTGATGACGATTGATAAAATCAGGAAAATAAATATGAATCAAAGTAACTCTCTTGGATGTACTACTTCTTTAGCATTAAAGATACAAAAAATGGAAACGCTCTTATTGCCAGAAACGCAGCAGACTTTTACTTGGCAAAACTGCATGTTAAGTATAAAATAATATGATTATCATTTTCTAAATCTTTTACATTAATGTTTGATTCTCATTACTGTTAATCTGATTGGACAAAGTTGACTTAGTCAGCTTACCTAAACTCATGCAATCAACTTATATAGCAATGTCGATAGTTTACAAAAATGCATTTTTCATTTACTTACTCATAATTTTTCTTGACGAAGTCAATGCTACAGAAACAAAAATCATGTTAGAAATGCTGAAAATCAATATTTATCCTAAGTTTTTATTTTTTTCTGTTTTTTGTTTTCTATTAACAAACATACCTTTCACGAAAATATTTCAGATAATCTACAGATACTTGTATTAGATCACGTAATAATGATAAAAGCGGCAAAGTTTTATCGCTTCTCAGGAGACTTCTTTATTTTGGTAAAGTTAACACATTGATAAATATAAATGCATCACGAAAATACCGTATAACTAATTTTTTTAGCCGAAAATGAATTATTTTTTATGTCAAACAGTAGAGATCTATTGTAGTAGGCATAAGTTCAAAGCAATTATGGAGGATGGATCAAAAGTCACCGGACAGTTTTTGATTGTAAAAAATTGTTGATAGAAAAAGATAGAGAGCTGCGGTTTTCAGCGTTTGAAAGAGAAGATGAAGACGCATAGGACATTATAATATATATTGGTTTGAATTGGTTTTTTCAAGAACATAAACCGATGTTTTTGAAAATCAACATACTCTGTAGGAAGAGTATACTGAAATTTTTATCATTTGGTGTGCATGTGAATCGTTACTGGAAAACGTACAAAACTACGTAAAGCTCAGACTTTGAGACTTATCCCTTCAGAAGTTACAGATATTCTACTAGGCATTCTGAGTCGATTTCTCTATTAACATCTGTGAAAAAGATCACTTTTGTGTGTTTTTCTCATTTTATAGGAGACGTTTTTTTCGGCAGTATTCTTAGGAAATTAATTCAGGAAACATTTTAGTAAAACCTATAGTATAAAATTCAATGCGTTTTTATTTCTTCTCTCCAACGGTGAAAATCGTAGCTCTCTATCTTGTTTCTATCGAGAGTTATTCGAAATCTAAGCCTGCCCAGTGACTTTTGGCCCACCCTGTAACTTAACAGGTGAAATAAAGAAGACGACGATAAACTTTTTGAATTTCTATTAGTTCTTTGCAGAACATATTTTTAAAAAGTGAAACATTACCTATTGAAGTCAATTCGATAGTAGCAATTTCCATTGACAAAAAACCTACTAGGGATATTTGAACTTTTTCGAACTATTCAAAAATCTGAGACTACAAAAATATTGATAAAGATATTTAAATATAAATATATATATATATTTACGTGTGGTCGTTTGAACATCACTACTGATTGATGAGCTATGATTTTGCAAAGATGATATCGTATTCGTTGACATGGCACTTGATATAAGCGTAGTCGATTCATATGTAGAATGCTTTGTAGATAAAGAAGGATCAATTGTAAATAGAAGAGCAAATGTAGTTAAATGATTGCAACTACATTCATAACGATTGAATAAAGAATTGTAAATAGGTAAAGTACAACCTGATTCATCCCAATTTGCAGTACTTGTATTATAATATGAACAAGTCAAGTTGCCAATCGATACAGTATCACTTGTTGTATTGTATTCAAATTGTTTAGTGAAATACAATGAAATGTTCATTCGATTAGAAAAAGAAGAGCTATTTCGTTGAATTTTTGCTACAATCACTGATGAAACAAGTTTCTTATTCGTAAAACTCGTTAAATGATGATAATAGGTAGGTTTATCAATGACTAACATACTAAGCTGAGTTACATCAATCAATGAATCAGGACTGATGACAGCTGCAGCAGAAAGTTTTGAGTTAATAATATTATTTTGATTCGAATTTTGAATAAGTTGACCACCAAAACCTGATTGAAATGAAACACCAACAATGATATCTTTGTTTTGATTTGATGATGTAGCCATTATAAATGAATGAGTTGTATTTATGATAATATTAGCATTTAGTTGGCCAACAATATCATCTATTTCAGTAAACGTCAAAGTTAAATTTAATGACAATGGAAAATTTCGATCCATTGTTAATTTGAGATAATTAATAAGAATATTAGCTAATTTAATGGCAGTTACGTCTGCTTGATGATAACGCAGAATATTAAATGTTTCTTTCTAAAATTATCACATGCATAAATATTTCGATGAATTTAGTTTTTATTAAATATCATTTTATACTTTTATATTTATATGTGAAATATTTGAATTTTTGATTAGTTTGATTGGAAATGAACCGTTAAAAGAGTTCGAGTGATTTGAAAATGAAATCTTCATTGTTGCACTAGAAAGTTTAGGCCTTTTTTTCAAAGTCATAAAAATCGATGGAACAATGGAAGTATACGTTAATGATTCTGTTTTATTTACAATGCCTTAAATATGACATTTATCGTAGAAAATTTTCCAAAATATTTTTACTCTTTTACCGTCGGTGATTGGAATAAAACGTAGTTTAGTGTTAATAATTAATATTCGGCTGAAATCAGTTTTATTTCTGACTATCGATGAGTTTTCAGTAAATAAACTTCTATCATCGTCATCTAAGAATAAATAAACTAGAATAAATAGTTGTTTTTTTTTTAATAATAAAATAGTAATCATATTCTAAATATACTGTTGTATACTAAACATGCATATAGATAGCCTTTGTTTTCGTCATAATCTCATTTAACTGCAGCCAAATCTTAAAATAAATTTATTTTCTCACGTTGAAAACTGTTGATAGAAAACGCATTATTGGCGTTTCTCTTCATAGACTTCAGTAAAGAAGATGAATTTTTTTTGAAACCTATTGACTCTTGCATCGGAACAAATGATGCGTTCATGCTTTTTATTAAAGAACGCCCCATAGGTATTGCTTGATAGTCTGATCGAATCATCGATAATGATGTACGACAAAATGAAATATTTAATCGAGTTGATTTTTTTTGTTTTGCTAAACAAGAATAAAATAAAATTTCGTTTATAATTTTATTATTCAAAAAAAATATGATGTTCTTACATATAATCATTGTATAATCATAAAACGTTACTGTACTTTTCGATAATTGTTGAAGGTTATGTATAAGAACATTATGTTGTACGAAATTATGATCGTTTTTAATCAATTTTATCGTAGTTATGTTTTTCTTCGATATGTAATGGTCGTACAAATTCATAAAGGAAACCTTTTCATTCGATTGAAATAATATTGTGTAATACAAAATGATGAGATATAATCTCCATATTTTGTTTTGAAGATTTTCCATCTCGAAGAAGTCAATCATTTAAGAATATATTACATTTAACTGCAGACTATTACCCCACAAAATTGTCAAATATGTAGCACGATTTGTGATTGAAATCTGATTCTCTTTTTCTTTGAATATATCGCTCAATAAAAACTTTTTCTGGCTGATTAAAAGGTAATTTTTAAAAGACAACACAAAAACCGTCACGTCTACTCTTTTATACGTCTGTATCAAATAGATGTCAAAGAAGGACGTAACACTACACTTTTTGACAAAATTGTCAATATTCTTTATTATTGGTATATGAGACTAATCAACCTTATTGAAACTGTTCTTATCAGACTCCTGTTTTGCTGGATTAGTCGGACAAAATTCTTTTTAAATATATTTCAGTCAAGTTTCTTGCTTGGAAAAAAACATAGATTTTGACTTTTCGATAAGAGTCATACAGATCGAGTCTTATCTAATGAGTAAATACATGTGTCGTCAGGCAAGATTGTTTTGATTTTTGCCCGATTTTTGTCATTTAGAGCTAGCCTTTGCTACGGATCAACAAGCAAGTTTCTTTTCATTGCTATTTTATTGTTACTTGAAGCTTTTAACAAAATAAAAAAACAATCACAACGCAGTTACATCTAATTTCATACAAGTTAGATGAAAAACAAAAAGAGATGATATAGATAACATTTACAATAACAGAAGAAAACAAAAATTTTGAAGTTATATAATAAATCCAACATGTGTATCTACAAGAAAAAAAGAAGAAAAGATAATTGAAATTGTCGATTCATATTAAAGTAGTGATCAATTATTATAATTCATCTTGTTCATATTTATCACCCGATAACAATAAGTATT